ACAATACTTAAGATACTTATTTCTTTGTAAATGGACAAGTCGGTGGTGGTAGTTAGTAGGTAGGTATTACAACTCCTATTTTCAACTCCTATCACTTAGAGATAGTACTTCAAACTTAATTGAGTAAATAAAATCTTTCATATTAGGCTTTTCTATTTGAACAATATTACATTTTACTTGTGCCAATGTGTTTAAGGCTATATTGATTGATAGGAGTTGAAACTGGACAAAAAGTAGGGTACCATTTTATGGTAGCCCAATAACTTGACAAATAAATAATAAATTAGGCTTGTTGAAAATATATCGATGTATCGATATATCGATATTTTTTGTTCGATATATCGATATTTTTTAACGATATATTTTGATTCGATATATCGATACATCGATACAAAATAACCAATATCGAAATTCGTATCAAAAACGATATTTTTTTAATTATTAGCGGCATATCACGATCTAACTAAATTCGTATCTGGAAAAATCGTAACTGGATCTCAGATTAATGATATTCAACATATCTATGATCTGTGCTGTATTTAGTATTGTCTATGATTTGTAAATCTGTTTCGCTGGTGAATTGGTTGTGCTGAATTCCATTATATTCTGTGGAAGTGTGTGACTAGTGTTGTTTACTAAAGATGGCACCTGAGTGGCCCTGCAATCATTTTCATCATTCGAAAATGGGGTCTATTTTTTAGGGAGATAAATTTCGTTCAATTATTATTCCTCGTATCATCTTTCGTGAGATACTGTTCTGTCATTTAGTGTAGCGGCAATTTGGTACTTTGACAATTCTTTCTTTAATTATAATTTGTATTGTTATTATTACTGTGCTAAGCTGACATTAATATATTTTTGGGATAATTGGTCCGTTATATCGATATATCGATGTTTTTTTCGCGATATATCGAAGCCGATATTGATATTTCTTTAAATATCGATGTATCGATATATCGATATTTTTTTCAACTTTCACATCCCTATAATAAATACACATAAATTCTTGCAGCACGATTAAGAAAATCTTTTCACTGATTGAGATGCAAAAGAATAGAAGATCAAAAATCTTACATATTATTTATGATAATTTCATTATCAGAGTTTCACATAAAGGTAAAGGAATTAGATCAAAATTCATTCCCACTTAATAATGAAAGCCAAAAAATAACTGTTTTAAAAGGTTCCAAAGTTTCAAGTTTTTCTAATAAGACTACCATAAAGTGATGGTAACTAGACGCTAAGCATTGTTCTGGCTACGTCGCGCGCGCTGTAGGTCGGTGGCACTGCCCTTTCGGACAGGAAATTCGTGTTAATTGTCGCAGAGCGCCGCTAATTGTTCGCCAGACCACACCAAAGGAAGTGGGCATGTGCCAACTGTCAACAGCGCCGGCGAAACGCACCAACGGGATATTTAGGCTGCCAGTGTCGTAAATTTTGGGCAAACGTCATTAAACCAATGGACAGGTTTGTTGGGGTATAAACTTGTTTTTGGAGCATGTGACCATTTCTGCCGTCTTTGTTGACAATTATGTTAATGCGTGTGTTGGTTAAGAGTTAGGTATAGGTATGTACTTACAAAACAATCATCATTAATAACGATGGACATTAAAAGCTACATCATTATCAGCCTATAATGTCCTCACTGCAAGGACAAAGCCATCCCCGTGGACGAAATAGGCCGAATAGGCGCTGAACTAATACGCGGGCCCAGTGCAGTTTGTCGCAGCTGATGACTGCAGATTAGACTTGCAACGAATATTCGGTTACTATTCGGTATTCGGCCTATTCGGCTGCTTTTATTATATTCGGCCGAATACCGAATACTTAAATAATATATTTTGTCATAGAGAAATAATTGGTAAAATGAAAAATTAAAATCGATTGATTACGTATATATTCATATTTTTAATTCTGTTATATAAAGTAGGCATTGGTACATAACAAGGGTACATAATCATCTTCTGAATTAGAAAAATGGAGGATTCTATGTAATTGAATTATTGTGGTAATCAAAATTTAAAAGGGTAAGATTCTCATTTCTTTTATAACCATTTAATAAGTAGTCATTGGTACTTAATATAGGTACATAATTTAATCATTTTCTGTAATAAACAAGTTAAGAATTTTTCTATGCATTTGAATTATTTTCATAATTAAAATTTAGAAGGGGAAGGTTATGGTGCAGAAAGACTAACTTTTCTGCATTTTTAGGAAGTAGTTTACTTCTTTTTTTTCTCGTAGACCAAGCTTCTGAGAAAAGGCGCTCTGAATAAACACTACTTCCTGGCGCCGACAAATATTTTGCTGCAATCTTAATCAAACACGGAAATTCAAATTTCCTTGCTGCCACCATGTACACGGGTTGTCATGGCGTGATATATTACTAATATTTAAGACAAGATCCATTTCTGTTGAAACTGCATTTGACTGAATTGCACTGCAAACAAAGGAGCGCTAAACAATCACGTCTGTACAAGTTTTTGGCGCTAAAATTCAGCCGAATACTTTTGCCTAATATTCGGCTATTCGGTCAGGGGCCTCGCCGAATATTCGGTATTCGGTATACTGCCGAATATACTATTCATTGCAAGTCTACTGCAGATGTAGTGACGGAACCAATGGCTTAACGATCCTTCTAAAGCAGGTAGAGGCGCGAGATAATTAATCGTCACTAATTCTATACCGGAAATTGCGAGTGTTACTTCTTCACCATCAAGCCCTACATCGAGAACAAAACAATAAAATGTACTTTTTATAAGGTAATTTCTACCAACCCAACAGTACTGAAGCCAAATATTGCAAATGAATCCAAATTGGTAGTGAACATACATTTGGCGAGGTTCGAGCACAGTTCGAGCTGGATCCTTTTTGTAGCAAACTGCCAATCGAATGGAGCTACATAAATTCATTCGGTTCAATATCACTCAATAAGTTTCTGTACAAATGCCAACATTTTGTTTGCATTGTAAGAATGTAAGTCAAGGTTTTACTTGTGGGATAAGAGAAAGCACCTACTCGAATCCAAATTTACGTTTTACAACTTCTTGATTCAATTAGTTGGTTACTTAAAGGAATATACGAGCTTTAGCATAACATGATGGTTCTCTTTTAAGGTCGCATTAAATATATGTACACATAGTTTATGAGTGTGACATGTGGAATTGTGGAGTAGTTTCGTAACCATTACAGAGCAGACCGCGAAATGTATGTAACAACGATACATACAACGTATCGCTTACATTACATGTAATATTATTTTTATAGTGACGATGACGATTGTATCAATCTCACATTGGCCTGGTTTCAAGTGTGAAAGACCTTGAATGATTGAACTCAATAATTTCATAATCGCACTGCTGAATGTAAAATATTCGTTTGTTCCGACAATTCAAGATAATGGCTCCTCTAGATTATATTTATTGAAAAACTCATGAACAACTGTTTCTAAAGTTACCTCCCGATTGAGTTGAGACCTCATACAATTTTAAAACAACTTATAATTTTTCAAACTGTTTCTGGAAGTTCTTTGGTTTTACTAGCAAACTCAGCGAGTAGAAATGGATTCTTCTTCAATAAAGTAAAGAACCTGTTTTAGCATATTAAGCAGGTTATCTAAACTTTGTCATGAATGTCCATTACCAGAACCTTAGTTAAATTGAATATAATATTAATATAACTTATAGAGAATAGTTTTAAAGCTTCAAGGTTTTTTAAGCATTTTTTAGGGTTCCGTACCTCAAAAGGAAAAAACGGAACATATATAGGATCACTTTGTTGTCCGTCCGTCCGTCTGTCAAGACCGTTTTTCTCAGGAACACGTGGGTGTATGTATCAAACTGAAATTCATATCTAAAACTCATGTCTACTGTCACTTGGAGCTGTGAAAAAATCAAACTTCTAAGCCAAAGCTATCAAAAGATACAGCTGTTTATGCCGCAAATTTTCGAAACTAGCACTGGAATCAAAACCTACAGGGTTACTTCCCGTGAACTTAGAATCTTGAAATTTGGTACAAAGTAACGTTTTATTGCACAGATAAAGGAAAAATTGCGAAAACCGTAAGTTTTTAGTAACATCACATAATAAAATATATTTTTCGAAAATTTTAAAGGTACTACTACCTCTTTTCTCATGAACGCGTAGAGGTTTTAAATTGAGTTTGTACGGAACCCTTGGTGCGCGAGTCCAACTCGCACTTGGCCGGTTTTTTTCTTTAAGGTAAAGATCATATCGTGCAAAAGAACATTGTAAAAATTCATATTGAAATTTCAACCTAGGCGTATATTTTTGTTCAATTTCTTGTAGGTACGAAACCCTATTATGAACTCTTAAAGCCACACGAAAACAGTTGTTGAAGCGGGATGCCGCTCTACTGTGCTGTGGTGTCTTACTTTGACAATAGGAATTGTCTCACGTCACGTTAGGAATTCATAATACGGCCTCATTCATCTTTACTTTGAATAACTTTCTTACACTAATAATAATAAGTATTTCCAACACTCACACCAATCAGCCTAGCCCCAAAGTAAGCACTGTAGTTAAAATAATAATAATAAATAAATTAAATTTTTATTAAATATATTAATGTTAAAACAGGTACTAAAGTTTTTCCATACGAGCAATAATATTGTTTTCTTCAGGATCGACAGAAGTCAGTAACCTCCAGCTTCGATATTCCCCTCTTTAAACCATTTTCGTCTAATCTTGTTTCCCATCAATCATATTTAGTTCTGTCACAGTAACTATTTCCGCGTCTACAAATTTGACATCAACTGTAAGTGATGGAATACTTATATTCAACATTATTGTACGAGTTTAGACATATTCGACACCAGAAGTCTTTACAATATCGTTATACGTCAAAATAATAAAACAAAACTATTGCATTAGCAAAAGGTGAACTGTTTTAAAAATTCTTTTACTATTTTGAGTTATTGTAACGTTTGGCGTGCGTGACCAAAGAGAGGTACACTGGTAGAAAAAAAAACAAAATTTACCTGGAATCCAGGGTGGAGTTGAGACGTTGCGAGCGTCTGAGCGGTGCGTTCCTCACCGCACTCACAGGCTCCTCCCAACTGCCACCTGCTGAGCGGTGCTCATCTGTAAAATAAATAAGCTAATTAAGCAACTTCAGAAATCATATATTTAGAGACAGAAATATTAAAACTTGGGAGTCGGTTGGATATCACAATAAATAATAAAAATGAAATAAGTTAAAAACAAAGGGGGCCTTCATACAAGAAACCTTTAATGTTCGACTTGTTTTGCAATATAAAATATTGTATTATGTATGTTTGGTAACGATCGGACTTGACCGGTTTTTTGTTTATAACAATGAAACAAATCAATTTTAAAAGTTGATGTTTTTATATTTTAGGGTTCCGTACCAAATAAGAAATAAGCTTTATTTCTAGGATCACTTCGTTGTTCGTCCGTCCGTCTGTCAAAATTCAATCAATCATTTATTAACCGCCTGAACTGAGGCTGTTACAAGCTCTTTTTGAAGTCGAAAAAATGAGCGAGAATTATCTGCAAACAATAAATGTCCAAAAATTTTTTACTTAAAGAGATAATCAATAATGTATCTCTGTATACTAAAAGAAATAGACCTAAAATAGAACCCGGAGGAACGCCCATTTACACATGAGAGCTGGATATATTAGTATAGTTAAAATCAACATTTTGTGCCCTTGCGGTTTAATATATTATAACAACTTTTGGGCGAAATCTCTTATGCCGTAATGTTTTTATTTCCACAGCAAAGTTTGATGATCTACGAAATCAAAAGCTTTACATAATCTTCGCGACTAGATTCTCGTGATAAATGAACTATTACAAAACTACAAGGTCTTTTTTTTATAACATACCAATTTGCTTAAGCCAAAAGTAAGCACTGTAGGCTTGTGTTATGGGACCTCTCGAATTGGCGACACCTTGAAGTTTGTAAGGAAAGTTTACGTACGTACTTTTTTCTTGGAGTAATAAAAATCGGTGGTAGTTGTTAGTAATTGGTGCTACGAAGCTAGTTCTTTATTTTATTATCTGACATACAAGCTTTTACAAAGTTTTTAAATTCAATAATATTAAATCCAGCGTTTTCTTAGAGTCTTTTAGGAGAAAAAGGCTTTAAACTGGATCTCTTGCAAACTTGAGGGGTAATTGTCGGATTTAAACTCATATGAAAGTTGTTTAATTGTACGTACTTCAAACTCAATAATTGATGTGGATGCGATCAAAATTGACGTTTATATTAAAAATATCTTTCAAATCTGTGATTTGAAGTATATTTACATATTTCAAATTTTCAATTGTTTGTCAATTGGATTTAATATCTGAAATAAAATTATTTTTATTGAATTTTCATTGGGATTGGGAATTTACATTAATAAATTTATAATGCTACGCTATTATTTTTATCAAAACCGAAGTTTGGTAGTCCTATTCAAAGTAACGACACAGTGGTTGGTAAAAGCAATAGAAATTTCGTAATATTTGCAGCAGGTAAGTAGAATGTAAGAGTTTAAAAACTCAAACTCACCATTCGGTGTAGTGATTCTGACAAATTCTCTGACCAAAAATATACATTCGAAGGTATTCCTCTTATAAGTTTGTAGAAAGTAAAAGAAAGGTGGTGTCCAAGTGTTGCGGTCAACAAAACCATACAAATTTGACTTTGTGACTCAATCATGCGTTTTAATGATTTCACGGAACTTGGTATTCCAAAGGCACAGAAAAGCATACATACAGCATAAGAATGTAAAAACTCTTACATGCGGTAAAGAAAAGACATTACATTTCCATGCGATAAAGAAAAGATGTAACTAAAATAATAATAGCAAATGAACTTACGAGTATTTAATTAGTGAACTTTTGTTTAAACTACATATTCGAAAACAGTACAAAAGGGTACTACTTCGTTTCGTAGACAATGCTCAGAGGAATGGAGCGCTCGACGGTCGACATGATGCACAAGGTCATTTTTTCTTTTACATTGCTCGCTAACAGCCGGTTAATCTACCGAGGATTTCATGGCAGAACGCGTAACTGAACGTAATGGATAGTAGTAGGAGGTATGCTCCGACCACTGTAACCTCGGTGTAATTGCTCTAAAAGATAACAATCATCGAAAAAAAAGTGGGATCAAATAATTGCGAGTGTAACAAAAACAATAAAATTGGTATTGCTTGTGTTTCAGTGTAAGTACATTATTCATTTGATGCATTACTTTTGAATTCAACGACGAAAAATATGAAGGTAGTTGAATCTTGTGCTCACTTCAATCGCTCGAAAAAACAGTACACAAAGTTTCAATCTTTGGAAGATGCTTAAATTTAGGATCTATTCACTACAGTAATTGGATTTTAGTGTTGTAATCATGATTCAAATACTCCCGCTCCAAACCATGTTTGTTTTATATTGCTAATTTTAAAACATCAAATTATGAAGCGAAGAATGTTGAACCGTAAATCACTTTAAATTAATCAGCAAATTAAATAGCAACATAACTTTAGTTGCGATCTCTAAAATTATATCTTACTTATAGCCTTTGCTACAATTGATAAGTAATCTTTTCCTTCATTATTGAAGTGTCTTAAATAACAAGTACATCAATTAAGATAATAAAAATCAACAGATTTTTTTTAATACCGCATACTCCATTACAGTAACGATCACAAATTAGTCTCAATTAAGTCAAGTTGAAACAGTCTTGTGAGATAGAATTCGTGTGCAGCGAGTGTACAATTCGCAAATAAAATGAAGCAAATTGAAAATAATTTAGGATTTAAAGGTTGTTTTATGCATTCTCGTGGAACATTTTCAAGTTGAATTTTAGTACAATCGACTAACAGACCTTGAATCGACGAAATCGCGTAGGCGGCAACGACTTAGCGACCACGTTACTACCGACCACGTTTTTACATTGCAAACTTTATTAATTGGCAGTTAAATTCATTGAACATGTCGCAGTTACATTTAAGAGGTAATAAATTACGTTACAGATATGAAATTTTATAATACTACCAGTTTACAAAGCGGTAAAATGCAGCTTTAATAGTTTGATCCAACTATCTGTAAAAGAGGTTTATGTTTTTAAGCAGGTTCTACGAATAACACTTATTAATCACTATTAGAAGTAAACAATTAATTTGAATGACAAACATATGCTTACCCTTCGATTTTAAAACCATTATGATATGCAAGAAGAGTTAGTTACAGTGACAAAGGCACATAAAATGTTAGTATTTACACAAATTTGACGTCGCTAAAGAACAATTACCTACTTATTTTATGTTTCTTTATCAACTTGTGTTTTATTTTGTTAATTTTGTCACTCCTCTTGTTACGTTTCATCGTATCACAGTCACAGTTTCGTTCAAATCTAAGAGCAAACCAAATTTCCATCACATCATCGAACATTTCCACATAACATAAAAGAGCCGGGGGATCACAGTCCTGTTTTAAAAAACACAACACCACTTCAAAGACGAGGCTTTCTTAAACATTGACAAAGCCAACAACGAGTTTGGTTTTGAATATTTTTTTTTCCGTCTCTTTATCGCGGTAATTAACGGCAATCACGTGTTGACAGCACGGTGTTTCGTAACACACTAGATGGGAGTTCTCAATGGACAAATGGTACGATCTGTAGTAATAAGATTCTGGTTAATTGTGCTCGAACGATTGTAGCCGAACAACAGGGCTGACGATCCGTTCATGGAAACTTAATGGCTTTTAAAGCTTTATTTGCATTAGATTACGAACACTTTACCATATCTGAGGCTCCAGCTATAGAGAAACTATTACATATGAATAAACTACTGTACAATTATGATGCTGCAAGTTAATTAACAGTTGTAATTGTAAAGTACTTTTCAATAATGACTTCTGAAAAAAAAAATACTGTATGTTTTAATGCAGGCTTAGCTATTTATTGGACGTTAGGCATAAATGAGTCATTGAACTGAACTCTGTTTTTTTGCGCGAGATGTACAGCAAATAAGGTTTAGAACATGTGCCAGTGTTTCTCTTCCGTGTTCATTAAAAAACTATAATTCCCCAGCAAATCTCGTAAATACCAATAAGAATTATTTAGCTATTTCGGATGATATAAAATATTTAAATGAATTGTATGACATAACAGTAAAAATTACTAAATTATCAAATTAATGTTTATTAAATATTCAGTAATCAGTAGCCCTCCCTATCTTTCAGATTCTCTTATCTAACAACTGCTGGAATTAAGATGTACACATCCTGAACAGCGCTGACCTCCCTTTCACTGTTCTAGATAGTAATGTTTTATAACTATAAATCATTATAATGTGAGAGATAGAATTCCTGGACTCGATATCTTTGTGAATTGAGCGCACAAGCCGTCTACAGTTAAACAATCTTTTGTAAATGGGATGCTTTCTAGGGTCGAGAGTACACAAAGCTTAAATATTATCTATGGAGTTAATACCGTTAATAATGCTAGCGATAGCCTGATTAGATGAAACACTAACCTATCGTAGAGACAGGTAAACAGCAGGTCCAAAACAAGAGTTGGTTTACGTTACGGTCGGTCAGTATCAGAGTCCAAGATCTCCGAGCCGGGTCTGAGATCTGAGCTGCCGCCAGCCGCGCCCCATCACTCATACAATCATTGTTCCAGTGGTTATTATGAATCATGAGCCAGTATTACAACTTTTAGATAAGAATGCAGCAAATGGGGCGTTGCGGGCGAACAATCCTCGCATACAATATTATGCGCTTGACACAATTCCAGAGGCGACGTGTGCGGGATCCCATGTGGGTTTATTCAACTACAACTTTTGCAAACTGATGTCACCGACAATACTTAATTTCACAGTATTCAAGGTTTGAGTAATATAAAGTTAGTCAAAACAATGACTAATAAATTGGATAGTAAACTTGTCATAAATGTACTTCTTTCCAGTATAATATTAACGACCTGTAGTTTGCTACATTAAATTTACGAACTCTTAACAATGATTAGCAGCTGCAGCCAATTGTGGCATCGAATTTGTCCCAGTAGCACGAGTAGATAAGGGCAATGGGTTGATAGAAATTGTTCAATTACGTTTATTCAGATGGTTAAGGATGTCACTTACAATATTGTTTCGGCGGCTCTTGCCACACACCACACCACACCCGTATTTCAATTAAGTACTTCTTTGGTGTTCGTTTGCTAATAAATTAATGGAATTATGAATAGATTATGCTGAAGTTACTGCAGGAAAGCCGCTAATCGAAATTTTATATTATCGCAATTTATAAGACTGGCTATAATTACAATTTTAAGACTTCGGATGCAATTTAATTGTTTTTTTTCTCATAATGCGGATGATACCAATTACACAAAGAAAAAAAAAATTCACGACAAACCAGAGGTCTGCGGTCCTACTCGCCTCTTAATTGAATAACACTCGAGGTTCAGCAATCGAATTGTAAATAAATGCTATAAAGTCCAATCTTAGATAAAAAAAAGATTCTATTTAAAGGTTTATAAATGGTAAAAACGTATTGCATTATTTCCTTTCTTTAATGCTAACGCCTTTATTACGTGAAACAAAATAATATTATATTATAAAAAGGTTTATAATATAATGTTTATAAAATTAAAACTGAACTCTTTTAATAACTTTAAAGAATATGAATAAAATATTAATCAGTTATAACATCGCGTGTGGTCTTTGCTCGAAGTACTCAGTACTGGTACAGACGACAGAATATGTAGGTAATCATTTAAGCATATTTTTTTTTATTATTACAAATACGAAATTTCCATAAATTAAATTACTTTGAATTCAAAGTTACCTATTGGTTTGGCCGGCTCCTCGACCACAGGACATAGTTTCACCCTGTTTACAACGATTACCAAAGTAAACTGCATCGTGGCACATCACAAACACAGACCGGCGTCAAGTTGGCATAGCGAATAGGCTAGTTGACTCATGTTGAATTGTATTAAATAAATGTTTATTTCTTAAAGTATTTGTTCTAAGTAACCTAAATATATCGATTTCACTTCATTAAAGCAGGAGATTGCTGTAGAAATTTAATTTAAAAAAAAAATTTTTAGTCTATACTTTGTAAATACTAAAAACGCTGTTCGCCACATCCGCCATGATTGTGACGTCTCTTTTAGTAAACAACTAAATGTCATTCATACATAACTTTAAAACTTGTATTATTAAAACTGATAATAAATGAAGAGACTTAAAATATAATTCAATGAGCGTTTTCCATTTAGAAAAAAAAGTCGACACTGTGTTGCACTGTGTCGACGATACTATAGCAAAAACCTAATGCCAACTAAAGCTTGGTAACTTCAATACTTTTCATTGGTTAAAGTGTTACCACAGTGTTCGTCGACACAGTGCAACACAGTGTAGACTTTTTTTTCTAAATGGAAAACTCTCAATAAGTAAGTACTTATATCAAAGCGATCTTCGCAAAAATAAATTTTACTCAAGTAAAATCACTCACTTTTAGCAAGTTCTAACAGGTATTGCGTAGGTTAAATTCTTTCGGCACTTTAATCCACAACTTTCCTGGAGTCTTCAAGGATGTGTTTTTACATTCTCGTACAATACAATAATGATAATTACTTTATTTTTCGTGCTATCTATTAGAAATCATGATTTTTTTATTATAAACTCGGTTAAGTTATTTTCTACGTGCTTACGAGTTTTTGTTTACTACCGTCGACGTCATAGCATAGATAATCTATAGACTAAAATGGCCGACAGCGTTTTTGTATGTCCATGAAAAATTTATTTTAAAATTAAAGATTTGTAGCTTTCTAGGTCTCAAAAAAATACAATACATTTTTTTTCGGTCTGGTAGAACATTTAGTAACCATTTAAAACCTTTTTCCAAAAAGGGTCAACTAGCCTATTAAGAGATGCATTGTACGTGCAGCGCAGTGCAAGAACCGTTCAAAACTAACCCGGATTAACATAATTGGTGACTGCCTCTGGCAATTGCTGGCCCTGTTCAGTTGCCGCGCTGAAATAATAATGGCCGGCTACATAGTTCACTTATCTGTGCAAGCCCATAAGGGATCCGTACAGAACTATTTTTTGATAAACCCTAAGTGGAACGTGTAGCACCCGTTGACTTCAAACTACAGGAGGAAGTCGACGTTAAAAATAAAAACATATGGGACACGTTACAGTGACATTTATTCTAATTACTTTAAACGGCCTTTGCCTAATTAGCTTCATTAATTTCAGTACGTGTTTCTACATCAAATGTATAAAAGCACTGCTGTGTAGAGTTTACAAATAATGATATTGTTAATGTTGGGAACGAGTTTGCAAACTTTTGAATTTTAAAGACAAGGTTAAACGTTAAGGTTTATGAATTTAAAGAACGACAGAAATAACGTTTTTAAGTTTACCGTACAAGACTAGTAAACTTGACTAGGGAACCCAAAATGAACAAACATCAGCACTCGCTTTTGTCCAGTCATTATTATTAGCCTTACAAACAAAGCTAATTGTAAACGTGCGCCTCCCGCATCAATTGAGCGCGTCGCAATGGGGGAACTTTGGGAGACCGGAATAGACCCAATTGTAGCTATTTCTAGAAATGGCAAGACGCTGGCACGGCGAACAGATTGAAACGGCTTTTAAAACATTGTCGAGAAGTCGCAAAATTTGGAAAATTTACAACTGTAGTCATAGAAGTAGTTCGTTAAATGTGGGACTGTACATTATTTTGCGACTTATTTGTGGGATGAAGTATGGGTAGCGGCAAACTTCTTGAGGAAAATCATAGACAAATTAACTTGCACAGTCGACGTTTATGTAATAAAATTGCTAATGCGCAGGCTTCCTTGTTTATGGTAGTTGCTCAAGAAGTTTGCTGGGATGTATAACTCATGTAAGTATAAGTCGTGTAAGGTAGTAAATTAATATATATTATGCTTCAATACTCTTTTCTTCTCTATGGAACGCTGTGAATGAGAGGTAGAAAAATCAGAATAAAACCAAGTTCAAATCGGTGGTTGTTTGTTAAACAATTTATTGTTTTATTGTAGGATTAAAGGTTTAAAATAAGGAGTTGGTTCTGGCACTAGGTCGGCTTCTTACTGTTTTGAAGATCGCGAGCAAATTTATTGATTTATTGTCAATTGAGAAATCTAAATTCAAGTGGGAGAACACAGATACCTCATTTAATAGACATTGTATATATCAGGGTTACATTCGGCGTAGATGCTAATGTTAGGGGCAGGCTACAATAACAAATATTGTTTCTACGTGGAAATCAATTGAATGTTTTTCATTCTAGTTTTTAATGCACGGACTGGCCCAGTTCTATTATAAAAGGAAATCTGACGCAAATAAAGACGAATTAAGAGTACTTATGTTAGCAAACAGCGTGCAGTCGTGAGTTAACTTGGCGCCCGCTGCGCGCCTCTCCGTTGACACGATAGTAATGGAGATGTAGCCAAAAATACACAGACTGAATGCAACAAGACTAGCGTAAGTATATCCCAGCGTATTCCGCTGATTGATATGTGTGGGCGTATGTTATGTTAGAAGACGGCCGTGATCTCCGTATTATCGGTATTTAAAACTATTTCGTTCAATTTCAGTACAGATTTAAAAGTATCAAGTAATTTTATGTTGGTTTCTTGCATTAAGTTTTTGATTTGATTCAAAGGGTGGCAAACAAGCACAATATGAAACGCTCATCTGCTGTTAAGCGGCTATGACAGCGCCTATAGACGCATGCGATACAAAAACTAGCAGTCGCACCTTTTGAGATAGTAGGGGATTGGCCACTCTGACCCAATCTCGTCGTGGAGTTCAACTTATCACAGTGATATAAAATTACCCTTTGGTAGTGTTGTGTTTGCGTCCGTAAGTAAGATACCATACTCCACGGGGTTAGGGAATGAGGTCAGTGTAAGAAAGCGTTACAAGTGAGTTCTGTAGTCAGAAACCTTTGCTCACTCCTTTTTGAACCTTTGGTAACCGCTCACCGGAGGGCCATGAGCTTGTTTGTCACTGAAATCATATCCATATCAGTCGACATAGCAATAAATGGATTTTTGATAACTTCAGAAGATCACGGTGATATAAAACGTTATAAATATTCTTAATAAAATTATATTGAAAAGTATTTTTAGGCAATGGACCTCCGTCCCAGCTGCATCTGCAGTCGTTAGCAACCACCAATGCGCGCTGAGCCCGCAAGGTAGGTCACGGTTAAATCTCCCTATTCCATCCATAGGGAAGGCCTGTGCCCCAGCAGTAAGGACATTAATAGGCTGATGATGATGAATAAAATGTGATTAATTTATAGCCTTGTAAGGGCATTTTCATGCTACGTAAATCCAGTTATTGAAATATCGACTGATATAAAACTTCACTATAACGCGAGCTGACAAAAGGGTAACCTACAAAAAAACAACGTTCATTCTCATTCGATATGTCAGTAAGTTACCATACCACCGTCCATGGATTGTGGATCCGTAACGATTGCAGATTTATTGAGCTAAGGATTCTTTAAAATACAGTGGTTAAATTTTTGTTCTACGACAAATATTGACGAAGTTATGACCAAATTGCTAAAAGAATTTTCGGCTGGCCGCGTGGTGATTGTGACGTCACAGAGCTCTAGCGCTCGGGCGCGAGCGTGTGTTGTAGACACGCTACTAAAGTTCGACCGGAGTGAACCGACGATCGAGCTCTGTGACGTCACACGAAGCATGGTGAATATTGGCTACCATAAAATTAGTTATAAAATCGCAACGAATGAACCGATTTCGATGATTTAAGCTTATTAAGTCATTATACTGTTGATTTTGAGTTGATTGCTGACCTAGTAATGATCCTCATTCTCAATCTGAGTCATATACCAAATCTACAGCAGTTTATTGTCTTAAAATTACAGTTGTAACGATGACATAACAAGTGGGTGTAACTTACACTTGATGAGAACGACTGAGTCGTGTGGCTCGCACTGCACCTGGGTGGCGTTCATGGCAAGCAGCGTCGCGCCGCCCGCCCCGCCACCCGCGCCGCTCGTCTCCCTGCAACACCATTACAGCACTCAATTATCGGACAATAGTTACGTCTATAATATTTTTTTAATACAAAGAGTGGGCACATGTAAGGAGGGCATGTACAGAGGCAAAGCTTCATATAGTGCGTGCGTGTGAGTGAGCACTGGTGGCCTGTCGTCGCTAATATAGACGTTTCTCTGCGCTCGCGCAGGCGCCAGTGCTCACTCACACACGCGCAATGGTATGAAGCTTCCTCTCTGCAGGAAATTCTCTTTTTAAGATAAGAAAAACTGGAAGCAGGGCTGCCAAGTTACTTATTTATTTTCTCACAATAGTAAATAAAACTTAATCCTTGTATCCTTTGCTTCACTCAGGATTCTTATCTAGAATCCTTCGTTGCTACAATAGGGATCCATCTTCGCACCTCAATTAAATTTCTTTTATATTTGCACTCATTTTATAATCCACTAATTTCATATTAAAGTAATAATTTGGCAAAGCGCTCTATACTGAACATAGCCGCGTCGATGTCTCCCTCGTGCGACACTGACAGACTCGTGGCCGTATTTACCTAACCTGCAGCTGCGCAATTTTGTAAAAGGGCTCTTATGTTAACATGAAAAAAGTTACGGGGTCACTTTATCTCGGGAACTAAGGTCAAAAGTGACATCGTCGTTGAGGTTAAGTTTGTGAGTGTAATTTACCTGTCTTGTGGTGTCACACTTTTGTTACTCTGCCAAGAACCCTGCAAGTAATATGCTGGTGTGAAGTTATGTATAAATGTTAGGTCTGACAGTTCCATATGACTTGATTTATGACGTGCCAATGTGGTTTTCATACACACGGTATGTTTACGATGAATCAGTGAATGTTTACAGAAATAACTGTTCCGGACAGGATGGGCTGCTCCATAATCCGATTAATCGTAGTTACCTATACCATATTCCGATTAAGAGAAAGTAAGCGTATCTTAGTTTCCTCATTCATCACCACCAGTCTATTATTGGTAGTGTCCGACCGAAACTGGTTTTCCGGCCGAAACCGAAACCGAACATTCGGCCGTGGCTTCAGTTTCGGCCGAAACCGAAACCGAAACCGAAACTCACATGGTCAAGTATAAAATTCCTTAAAATACTGAAATTATGGACCAAATTTCTGATTATTCTGCATTACTGATTACTGATTATTCTGCATTAAGTTAATGCATAAGAATAACTTTTAAAATCAGGTGTCATATATGCATTTCCGGTTATAATAAGGTACTCTGTGACAGAAACTGTGTGATGATTGTGAATGAGCCACAGATTAGAGAGAATTTTTAAACTCTCGTTAACCAAAGAAAGCTAAGAGGTTTAGGTTATATAGCCATATATTCAGTAGCTTAATTTTTTTGTGATTGTGTGTGTGATTTTTAGTGTATCACACCTTATAATTTTATTTATTTATAGTCAGGCGTAGGCTCATAGATAGATACCTTAAAGTCTAAACAGATTATAATGTGTTTATGGAGGTGTTTGGCGAAAAATGTATGGCAATAGACTTTATGATGTTGCCTACCATCTATAATAATTGTCTGAGCACATTTGCATGTAGTGAAAATGATAATAAAGTTGTGGATATTAAAACCACAGTGTAATAAAAAAAAAATATTTTATCGATCTTTACAAAATAGATTTGTTTTTATGTTATATAAACAACTTCGATCAGTCTTTGGCTGAATGTTACTACACCCATAACCATTAAAAATGATTCATATGTTTTCCAAACCGGTAAAATGAAAAGTCCTTTTTAAAGTGAATATATTATACAAAGGTGTCCGTTGAAATCTAATGACTGTAAATTAAATTACAAATTACGCCAAGAATTACCGTGTATGTCAATATTTTTTGTGCATTTGGGCCAATTTGAGCAATCTCCTTTTTATCAGCTTTATCAATAATCAAATCACTAATTTTTACTGTTTCATTAAATACTAAGTATTGGTATTTTGAAATCTTATTAATACTTTGGTTTGTATTTGTACTTGGAAGAATCATAAATCTCTTAGAAGTTCCATCATAACATAACCTCTAAAGAATGTTTGCATCGGGCGATAACGCATTAAGTTGTGTGTGCTACGGAGCTATCCGAACGGCGCACGAGAATTCCCGATCAGGGCCGCCAGCGTCCGCCTATGCGTTGCCGCGAGAAACGAAGTTAGGCGAGCCTGCACGACAACTTCCGTAATCAGTTTCGGTTTCGGCAAAAGTTTCGGCCAATTTTGGCCGAAACCGAAACTGCCGCCGAAACTTGATTTTTGGCCGAAACTCGGCCGAAACCGAAACCGAAACCGAACCTTCGGTCGGACACTAATTATTGGCGTCACTGCTGTATAGGTACAGGTCTTCCCTATGACTGGAATAGGGAAAATGCTCCATAATCCATCATTTGGCCGTTGCAGGTTGGTGGGTTTTAAAGACAGCGTATGTAGCCTGGACCAACCATCGGCATAACGTGGCTTCCGAAGTACGGAGGACTCAAGTAATAAATTTTTCGCTCATTGGGATTGAGCTCCTCAGTATGCTCATTGGACTATTGTAATTCATATTAGATTCTTATGATTCTTTAAAATACATAATACTAACGCAACAGCTATTAATTATTATGCATGCGAAACAAAGTGAATTTTAATTTGCCAAATTAACTTTAAACATAAAAGTTAATAAACGGGATATTAGGTTTGTATATATTTCAGTAAAAAAGTTTATTAAATACTGGGAAAGTGACGAAAGCGTCAATACAACGATTTAATATTATTAATTAGCAAAAAATATTAAAATAACTCGTAAAATAAGATAATACTTTGGAACTTGTTTTCGTGTTTGATTTAATATGTCAACGGCTTGGATTTTACTCTTTTGAAAACCAGAGAAAACGAGTTAAATTTTAGAAATAAATGGTTAGAATTAGGTCTGGAAAATAGAATTGGCGTAGGTACATACATTTATGAGTGAAACTTTTGCGTTGGGTGCTGAATTTAACAAATTTTACTTTAAAACAGGTTTATTTTAAAACTAAATAATAGGTATATTTTTAATCAAACCTTCCTCTATCATAAGAAGATTGTAAAAACGAAGAATTAAATTAAGAAACAAAAATTATGACCCAGTAAATTAAATTAGGTTTAGTTTGAGAATTTTTGACAGCTTTTAAAAATTAACTATAATCAAAAATTAAATCACAATAATCGTGTTTTTGTTTTGCTTATCGTTTACAAAGTATCTGAACTGGATAGGTATTATGAAGTGAATTCATTTAATTACAAAAAGAACATTTCATTATCGCTATTGTATAATGGATGGTTATGTCACACTATCGAGCGTCATACGTGCCAACCAGGTAATGGAGTTAGCCTTCATGCGTCGATAGTTAGAATAAAATGTTTTTATTTGTTGCTAACTTTTTTACCAACCTTTTAATGTTTAAACATGAATATGGATAGGATTGAAACTATTAACAACCTTAATAGGAAAACTTTATGACATACGGTCCTCTTTGTTTCAAAAATATGGAGTATCCACTTTTTAATTATCTGTATTCTAGGTAAATGCAGTATGTATACGTCATCTTACAATTTTGGCCGATTAGACGAATGCTTTTTCCAATCATACTGTATCATTGACCTTCTTTGTACTGTATGGTATAGTTTCCAAAATTGTGTTCTAACTGAATCTTAGATCCAATTTAAGTATGCCAGTGTTAATTATGGAATTGTTAACTTCTTTTTATTTAAAATAACGGAAAACATGCGTATGGTCCATCTGATGGTAAGACGCTAGCAATATCAGTGCAAAGGCCCAAGCACGAATTTTGACAGCTCCGCATCGTCATTTGTTCTTAAGTACGATAGGGGCGCTGTTAGTTTTCATAGAAATTTTGTCGATGCGATACCAGGGAGTTGTCAAAATTCATGCTTGGGCCTCTGAGCTTTTTCCATAGAAACTTTGCGTTGCCGGCACGAAAACGAATCTGTAAAAGTGTGTGCGTATCGCTAGCGTCTTACCTTGATCACAACCCCTTGCCTTTGTAAACTTTACTCTGCAGGAACACAAAACCAAAGATATGCCTTAATTTCCTAGTTTCAATTAGCTGTAAGGTGGAAGTTATTTCCTAAGATGAGCGCGCGCTAATTTCTTCAGGTGATTGACAATGTATAAAATACTTTGTGGGTGCCAATGCTGCTAAGTTAATAATAATCGTGTCTTTATCAATGGTGTTTTATCAGTTTCTGTTACTAAAAAACAATAACATATAATATTTCTTAGTATTTGTTATTGATATTCAAAGTTTTATTCACAAGAACTGTGTCAAGATCCAATTATGTATTACGATTACTAAGCAGAATTTATAGTTTGATCTCGTGATATCGATATTCTTTCGGTACCTACAGCAAACTTCTGCTGTTTAGTGTGAGATGTGAGATGAGAGGAGATTAAAAGACGCAAAGCTACCCTCGCCTTGCCAACCTTAACTCGATTACTCCACTCCGTAGAGCTCTGCCAATGTAAATACAGGACAACGTTGACCACGCTACAATAATTATTGTGGTTATTTAGCTGATCTTCTATGAACTGGATGATGCTCGTGAAAGATAACTCGAAAGTGTTTTTTTTGTGTTTTTAATATATTTTTCAAGAGCTGTTGACGGTTTACGCGTAAAACCCCTGGTAAAACCATGGTTTACAAGTGGCATGGTCTTTTCTTATCTGGAAGATGTCCGGTTGAAGAAGAAGCAGCTTGCAACAATGATTGGAGTATGCGTAACAAGTATTTTGAATATTATACATCATCATCTTGGGATGACTAAGGTCAGTGGAAGATGGGAGTTCCTAGAATACTCACGCCACTTCAAAAACGCGAGTGTCGAGTATTCTCGCCAGTTTTTAGAGCTCTGTGGAGAGAGAAAGGAAGAAGTTATGGCCCGAATCGTTAATGGTGATGAAACCTGGGTTCACCGCTATGAACCTGAGTCAAAGCAAGAGTCGATG